CATTAGACAAAATTGCTCGACCTACGGTCTCGCAATTTTTTCATATCAGTTTTTCTCCAAAAATTACTGATTGGCAAATGTTTTCGTTAGGAAGAGAATTTTATCCGATAAAAAAAAAGCTCTTGTGTTTTTACTGTTGATAAAAATCAGTAAAGGTGGTTTTCAAGTGATCGTGATTCAGAATCCATCATTGTTTTTTGTGAAAAAAATCCCTAATAGTACTTTCTCAAATATGAGTCAATAAAGTTGGTCGCAGTTGGCCACGATTACAGTTCATGAGTATAATCACTCTCTTGTTAAGGTGGACACACTGTATGTCGTCTCTGTTTCTGTTCGGTGCCAAAAGGCATGAACACCCATTGTATAGAACAGCACCTGTGCCAATCACTATCCTGAGCAAAATGATTGAAAAATTGCACTTTCCTGTGCTGAAATTTGCACTCGATTTCGCGATTCGAAAACGAGATAAGAATTATGCCATCCGATACCAATTGAATGGTAGATTTCAAAAAACCTACACGGCACAGCGATTTATTTTCTGCTATTATTCCGTACAAACTTCCGTCATGTGATAACGAGTTGAAGAAAGAAGCAAATGAAATGATACTCATCATAATCATGATATGGGTTTCATTGTTCAATGAAGCTATGCCAACGTGTCAAATTTGAGTAAAATATCATGAGCCGTTTCAACTGAGTTTGTTCGTATCAGATTGTTTTGAAAATTGATGAGAAATTATTTCAAATGATTTTTCAGATTTTCAAATCGGTTCAAATATGACTAAGCTAGAGTGACGGACATTTATGGTGCATCACCCTGTACACGTGTTTGAGAAATGCTATGTTGATTTTTTCTTCGTGAGTGGCTCTTGGAAGGATTTCACTGGCAAGTTGAATATTGAAAAAAGGCTCTTCCACTTCGATTCGATTGAGAAAAAATAAGAGGATAAGATAATATTTCAATAGATTCCTTAATTGATATAACTAACTGATAGGTGTCAATCTAGATAATAAAATTATGACTAATAAAAATAAGATCTTTGTTTCAATAATCAATCATAAGAAAGGGCTTGAGACGCGGTTAGGTTCTTGTCTATACATGTTGTTTTTAGTGTTACGCAGATGCAACCTTACGAAAGTGTAGATAGGCCACAGTTTCTCATAATTTTCAGATTGTCAACATAATTTTTCTGAATTGTAATTCGAGACATTTTTTTATTTTATCTCTTGGGCTGAACTAAAGGAAATGCCTATGATGTTCGAAGAACATCTGCATACAATTTTGATCCAATAATACACTCAGTTCCAAAAAAAATGACGCACTTGATATTTGAACTATCTTCTTAAAAAAAAAAAAAAAAAAAAAATAGTAAGCCGATTTTTATTTTTTTTATTTGTTGGTAGATAATGCGTTTGTCTTTAAAAAAAATAAAGAGGTGAAAATTATTTCAAAGCCTCCTTCATGGTGGTGGAATAACTCGAAGCATGATTTATTCTTAATCTTATTGAAGGATCAGAGTACTCAAAATTTATTGGGTTGTACTCTGGTAGGATCACATTGTCTTTAAAAAAACAAATGCCGTTGCCATAGCATATATACTATATATACTAATTTGTTGTATGCCTCCATATTTGACCATTTGTAGTTGTGTCATTAATTGAGTGTCTTGTTTTATTGACTAAAATTACATAAAACGCCTCAAATAAATCCTGAACAAGTAGCAAGATTAGTTGCGTTAATAAACGATGGGCGTAGTAAACGTTACGCCGCTCGTGCAGTGGGAGTTCATGAAGCAACTGCTCGTAGATCAATCCGCAAGTACGAACAAACAGGAAGCACCGCTCGGAGGGTCGGTTCTGGTCGCCCCCGAAAAACTTGACGAAAAAAAAAGTGACGCACTTGATATTTGACCTATCTTCTTAAAAAACTTCTTTAAAAAAAAAAAATAGTAAGCTGATTTTTATTCTTTTTATTTGTTGGTAGGTAATGCATTTGTCTTAAAAAGAAAATAAAGAGGTTAACATTTTTTCAAAGCCTCCTTGATGGTGGTGGAATAACTCGAAGCATGATTTATTCTTAATTTTTCACTCACTCTGTGTGTTAATTGAGTAGAGAGGCTTCTTTTGCGAGCATTTTGTTTTTTTATTCATTGATTTATCTCTAAAATTTTTCGAATTACAGCTTTTTTTGCTGAATCCTTGCAGATTACCAACTTTCTGATATTTTATAAAATATTTTTATCAAACACAAAATTATAAATTGGGATGACTGCTTAATACCGTGTATTGCCTCCTCTAGCAACTCTATGAACTTCTAATCTACGAGGCATACTGGAAATTAATTTGCTTATCGTATACGATCCCATTCTTCCAATAATGCATCTGCCATTTCTGCGAAACTTTCCGGAGACCTCTCGCGAGAACGTTCCTTTCTCTCTAATTCATCCCACAAATGTTCTATAGGGTTCATATCGGGGCTTCTCGCAGGCCATTGTAATGTGGTAATACCAGTAGCTTCTAAGAAGTTTCGCACTATTGCTGCGGTGTGTGGTCGGGCATTATCCTGCATCAATATGAAATTATTGCCCACTAACTCTGCATAAGGTGAGACATACTGCTCTAAAATGTCAATGTAAATTTGGGCATTCATCGACTGCCTCACCGGAAAAACATGAAGGGGTGTCTTTCCATCCATTGAAATCCCTCCCCACACCATAACGGACCCACCATTACAACTTTCTCATTCTGTTATTAAATTTTGATTAAACCGTTCACCAGTGTTCTTCTCCACGCTCTTTTTCTTCCATCCACCATGTTAAGGCAAAACCTTGATTCATCCGTAAACAAGACATTCGACCATTCAGGAATATTCCACTGTCCATAATTTTCAACAAAATTTCTTCTAGCAGCACGATGTTCGGGCAATAATTTGAGACCTTCTGCAGGTCTCCTAGCTTTTAAATTAACTTCTTTCAGACGTCTACATACCGTCTGCTAACTTACTGCAACATCACGAATTTGTCGAAGATCTTGCTGAACATTTACTGCAGTATTTGATCGATTCCGTAAAATCCGCAATCTCAAAAAGCGGTCATCTCTTGGAGAAGTTTTTCGGGGGCGACCAGAACCGACCCTTCGAGCGGTGCTTCCTGTTTGTTCGTACTTGCGGATTGCTCTACGAGCAGTTGCTTCATGAACTCCCACTGCACGAGCGGCGTAACTTTTACTACGCCCATCGTTTACTAACGCAACTAATCTTGCTACTTGTTCAGGATTTATTTGAGGCATTTTATGTAATTTTAGTTAATAAAACAAGACACTTAATTGATGACACAACGACAAATGGTCAAATATGGAGGCATACAACAAATTAGTTGCCATCGGCATTTGTTTTTTTAAAGACAATGTGATCCTACCAGAGTACAACCCAATCAATTTTGAGTACTCTGATCCTTCAATAAATTTAATTTGTGGGATAAGCGTAAGGTATCAGCAAAAAAGCTGTAATTCGGAAAATTTTAGAGATAAATCAATGAATAAAAAAACAAAATGCTCGCAAAAAACCCTCTTTCGTATGTGGTGTAAGCACTTTGTATAGCATTACTCAATTAACACACAGGATGAGTCAAAAATTAAGAATAAATCATGGTTCGAGTTATTCCACCACCATCAAGAAGGCTTTAAAAAAATTTTCACCTCTTTATTTTTTTTTAAGACAAATGCATTACCTACCAGTGAGATATTCTGAGAGAGTGGACTTTTCTGAACAGAACAAGATTTCAAACATGCAAATCCGTCAAAAAATAACTGACATATGACAGGATTAAAACACATATTAATTCCTATTTCGCAATACCAAGTTGTATATAACCTTGTCTTCGGAATTATTGGCATTTGTTCGTGTGTCTATCTTTTCGGAAGATTCAATTTCTAGATGGTGCTGTCTAATGACTATGACATTTTTATCAAAATTTTAATTTCGAAAGGATACAGATTGAAAGGGATTTCACAACAATTTCCTGCCAGGGTTGATTCGGAGGCCAAGATTCACAGATATGGAAGAACTTGAGATATTTGCTCTTCTCAAACGTTGAATTAAATAAAGGATTTTTTACAACTTTTGGGCAAATCTGAAATGATGAAGATATTATCTTCGTTTTCATATTTTCAAAAAGAAAATACAGACAAACCAACAAATGCAAGAAAATCGGAATCCTGATTTGCGAACACACCTGTTTTTATCCTGTCATATGTCAGTTATTTTTAAACGGATTTGCTTGTTCGACCTCTTGTTCTATTCAGAAAATTCCACACTCTCAGAATCTCACACTCACAAACATACAGGGCGACTCAAAAAAGTTCCAGCAAGTTTTCAAGTTCGTCAATTTGTTTTATGAAAAAAATCAATGAATTCAATAAATATATAGTTGACTTTTTATCTAGTTCAATTCTCTTTCAATCGATATCAAAATCAATTGAATCAGTTCATTAATGAAAAAGATATTTTTCGAAAACAAAATTCTGTTTTATTTGGACAACCCTATACAGGGTTTCATGCCTACTTGGCATGTACCAAAATTGAAAAAAAAGCCAGAGCGGTTTCAGAGATATTGAGGAATAACTGATTTTTTGTTAAATTTCAACTTCTTGTATCTCAGAGATGAAGATGTTACGGACCTATGTTCAAATGAAGATTTTTTTCTTAAAATCATCCAAGGATTATCGCCCTTTAGGATCAGCATTCAATTATGAAACACTGTATATTCGTATATTGAAGTAATTCTAATATTTTTATTCATAGAAACAAGAAGAGATAATGCCAAAAATTGAAAAAAAAAATGTATACAAAATTCAATTGCAACGTGAAAAATATCGGGTTAGCAAAAAGCTGTGGCTGAAATCAAATTTGATGACGAATGCCTCGTTGGAAATTTGAAAAAGTGGTCTTCCTACTCTTTCGTTGAATTTTAGATACAAATTATTTTGTTGTTTTTTCCAAGGACGAAGCTGTTGAAGGTGCTTTGAGGGATATCGGTTTACTATAACCCCAAGGGCTAGGCTAGGAAAGTAGTCAACTGTCGAAAGCAACCAATGTTTCATTTTATATATTCCACTGAATCATAGATAATGTGCCTGAAAAATGTGAGGGCCACAGTATTTCATCTTTGTGATATGTTCAAAATAAGTGTCAACGTACATTGCCAAAAATATATTTGTATGTCTAATGGTGGATTTATGCAGCATCATTTAACAATAATTATCAAGTAACATTTATCATTTAACAAGTAACAATTGAAAGTTGAACTTCCTGTTTTCAATGAAGATGTTTATGCAGACATTTAACAATTATCAATTAACAATTAACAAGTAAGAAGTTGGCAAACTTTTAACTTTCTTACTATAATTGAACCAGGTTTTCTTCTACACCTTTTCCACATGAATTTCAGAAAGCGTCAATTTAATTTCAGAATAGTCACTTGTATTTCAGAAACTGTCAATTGTATTTCAGAATAGTCAATTCAATTTCAGAAAGCGTCAAATGTATTTCAGAATAGTCACTTGCATTACAGAAAGCATCAATTGTATTTCAGAATAGGCTATTGAATTCCAGAAATCGTTCTCTATACAGTGTGTCCCACTTACCATGCTCACCATGGGTATCTTTTTAACGGTGAGAGATACGAGGTCGGTTAAATGACACCAAATGTGGAGTTTGTCAAGGCCAACTATAATGTGAAAAAATATTTTGATAAAATCTATTCGTTTTTGTCCTCCGTAACTTCTTCATTTATGAAAATATTCAAATAGGAATTTCACATTCTCATGGCAGTTTTTCAAAGTGATTTCGAAAAAAATATGAAATTTATACCAACTCTTCTAGAATTTGAGATATCAGTACCAACTTTAGTTTTTCAAATGTAGGTCATAGCTCACTATGACTTAGTTACAAATAACTTTTTTTTCTTTTACAGATGATATGTCGCAGTAATAGTTTTGTGTTGATAACAACGGAGTTATCGTCATTTATACAGAAACAAAAAATTATTCGGAAGCCGTCATCTTGAATTTATGAATTTCAACAGGAAATTCATGATCTCCGACCTCAAAAACCCCCACTTAACAATTTTTAATGGAATCGGACCAAATCTTGTCCGCCATCTTGGAGCAGCCATTTTTTTTATTTTCAACAAAAATTCCATAACTCCGATTAACTTGAAATTTGGCAGGTGTTCATAATTTCGGTGACAATACATTATGGAATTTTTGTTGAAATAAAAAAAAAATGGCTGCTCCAAGATAGCGGACAAGATTTGGTCCGATTCCATTCAAAATTGGTAAGTAGGGGTTTTTGAGGTCGGAGACCATGATATTCTCGTTAAAATTCATAAATTTAAGATGGCGGCTTCCGAATGATTTTTTGTTTTTGTATAAATGACGATAACTCCGTTGTTATCAACACGAAACTAGTACTGCGACATATCATCTGTAAGAGAAAAAAAAAGTTATTTGTAACTAAGGCATAGTGAGCTATGACCTACATTTGAAAAACTAAAGTTGGTGCTGATATCTCAAATTCTAGAAGAGTTGGTATAAATTTCATATTTTTTTCGAAATCACTTTGAAAAACTGCCATGAGAATGTGAAATTCCTATTTGAATATTTTCATTGATAAAGAAGTTACGGAGGAGACATGAAAATGATAAAAATCTGTTTTTTGCGTATAAAACAAAAACGAATAGATTTTATCAAAATATTTTTTCACATTATAGTTGGCCTTGACAAACTCCACATTTGGTGTCATTTAACCGACCTCGTATCTTTCACCGTTAAAAAGATACCCATGGTGAGCATGGTAAGTGGGACACACTGTAGACTGAAAGCCAGCGACCACCAGACATCATTTCAACAAGGTTGATATTTTCTATGTGTGTTATATCTTATTCGGTGGAATCCTTTTGGGGGCTAAGAATCTTCAGTACTGGATGGGCTTTCAAGAGATACCGGGTGTTGAAAGTATGAAGAAAAAAACTGGCAAAAACATCATTTCAACAAAAGCTGATCTTTTTATGTTTAATCGGATCCTATCATGAAAGAGAATATACAATTGCCAGGCACTTTCCACGGGGTGTTCTCCTGCCAGACAACTTTATGAATCGTGAAAATATTATGAAATACGTCGTAGCAACAGAGCTTGATTTTGTAAATATTATTCAGAAGCCTATTTTACAGTATCAAACAGCCATCAGTCACTTCCTATTGGACAAACATGTAAAAATCAGAACTTTTTCATAGCAATAGAAATAAGTGTATCTATGATAGTCCCCTATACCTGAAATCCTGTAATCTGTTCATCAAATAGTATAGGTATAGGTACCTAAAGGTATATAAAAAAGGAATTTGGGGTGATTAAATTGAAAACATCAGTACAGCAAGCACTGAACATCCTATGCATTTTTACATGGAGTGCACTTTCTACTAACTAAGCGATCTTGATGCTTTCTGAAATTCAATTGACGCTTTCTGGAATTCAAATGATATTTTCTGAAATACAAATGACGCTTTCTGAAATTCAATTGACTATTCTGAAATACAATTGACGCTTTCTGAAATACAAGTTACTATTCCCAAATACAATTGACCTTTTCTGAAATTAAATTGACTATTCTGAAATACAATTGATGATTTCTGAAATTGAATTTACTATTGTGAAATACAATTTGACGCTTTCTGAAATTGAATTGACGCTTTCTGAAATACATCTGGAAAAGGTGTAGTGCTCAACGAGTACGCAGATTGGTCAATGGTCAGACCAATGTCAGACCTGATATGTGACAGATGTTATGAAATTTGTTTTAACATAAAACAATCGCACTCAACAAAACAATTGTGAATAAAAGTAACCCAGTCTCTTCCAGAACAGAAAACATTTCAATATTTGACATTTTAGTTCCTTATGTAAAATGTAAACAACGAATTTTTAAGGTTATGGCTTTGATAGCCTTGATCTAGGGCATGTGCGCTTGCGTACTATTCATTCAACAATTGTTAATTTGGTTTGCATAAATGGCAATATTCTCATCACTTGTTGATTGATAAATGTTACTTGATAATTATTGTTGAATGTTGCTGCCTAAATCCAACTTTAGTGATGTGATGGATATTGATTCGATTTTTAAAATTGATAATGCATTCCTGTAGCGAGTGACTTTTACTTGTTTGTATTCAATGTTTTTAACAGCATGGTGTCTTAACTTTATGCCGTTTTATCTAATCTTGTACTAGTACCGAGTTATTAAAATAGATGAATAGACTTAGTTTTTTGTCTGGTTTATTGTTGTAGTTATATATAAAAAAATATAATATTTTTTAGGAACTTCTTTTTATTTTCACTCTCTACATTTCCATGGGATTGGTGAATAAATCTAAGGCAACGTTACATTCTTTTCTCGAAAGAGGTTTTTGATTTGACTCAGATAACAATATTTTGTAGATATCAACTTTTTTGAAACTAGTGTACTGCACTGTGTCGCATGTCACAAAATAACTAACTATTAGTTTCTTTTAACGTTTAGTAGAACTACTTTAATTGCCTACTTGATTAAATAAACCGTCTTGTGAAAACAAAAACCATGCACATGACGCATCAGTTAATAAAAATGTTATGCAATTCGACATTATTTTGTATAATAAAAATACTATGATGGAAGTCGGACATACCTCATAATATACAGTATGACCTGCTTTCGCTTCCATATTTTGAAGTAGAATGAGGTCTATGCAAATTATATTAGGCATCCTTTTATAATGAAAAGTGATTGCATTATTAGAATTGTTCTTGTCTCAAGTACCCGAATACGCACCAACATATCATGTACGGGGTGGTGGAAATTGGAAACTTCCATTTTGAAATGCCCTCTGGAAACAAACAAAGTTGATACCAAATTATAATTTCTCATAATCAAAAACCCCTAGCTTCGAAATGATCAAGTATTCATGTCCAAAGTTGTCAAAGTCATTGCGGAAATAAACTTTAAAAATTAACTTTAACACCTTTTATCCACCATTTTTCTCTTATTTGCAATATTTTTCAAGAAAATTGGCTCAAATCAAACTTACTTTCATTCAGGTTAAAAATGAAATAGTTTCAAGTAGTGATGAGCGGTGGGTATTCACTCAGTAGCTGGGTATTCATAAATTGGGCATTTATCCGGGTATTCACCCTGATGATAAATACTCACCCAAAAGGGGGTATTTATAAAAAACGATCTGATATTGTCGACGACATAAAACCGGCGTGTAACCTAGTGAAATGTTTGACATCGCGCTAGATAAAAGAAAAAGAAGCAGAAGAAGAAGAAGAGAAACAATAACATAACCTCACTCTCACAGTTTCACTCTTGTACTTTGCCATAAATCTGAATAAAATGATAAAAAAGGAAGATCCAGCTTGGTCTTGAGTTAATATAGAAAAAAGGTGGTAAATGTAAGTGCTGTAAAACCGAATACAAACACCCAAATGTCAAGAAAATGCAATAAAATGTACTAAAAAGTTTTATTTTGTTTTATTAGTGGGTAGTTTTGTTTTTAAATATAGATTTTGTTGTTTATTGTGGTTTTTTGTCCAGGGTATCATTTCTGTAGTACCAGATTACCAGATACCACACCACTGGTCGTGTTTGATGAGTTCTCGGAGAGTTGTTCAATCTGAACATTGGTTTTGTCAGAGGTTATGGTTGTTGAGAAGGTTGCCAAATTTAAAAACCTGTAATAAGATATTAAACTTGCAAAAATAGGGTAATAAAGAGCAATTTTCCATGTTTTCTGTTGAAAAGTTCAGAAATACATAATATCCTCAAAAATACCCAGCTCCTGGGTGTTTACCTGGATAAATACCCTGGGTATTCACCCTTAATAAAAAAATACTAGTTATAAGGAATGGTACTTTTATAACTTCCTTTTCGATACATATTACGTTCCAAATGAGAAGTGAATAGGTGGGGCTGCCTGTAGAAATTGTCACACTCGCGAAATGAAAATATGGCGGCCAATTCAAAATCATTGAGGTCCACTTCGAGGTCGAGTTCGTTTCGACGAAGAAAACTTTGACCTCAACGTCAAGGTCATAATACTATAGGCTGGTGTAATATTGTCCTCAATATTAACCAATAAAACCGAAGGTCAACGCTTTCCGATGGTTTCCAAGGCTGTCTTTTTAGTTGACAGTAATTCACTTTTGGTTCCAAAATAT